TTGAAGCCTTGGAGAGGTGAGTTTCCCATGGCCCTGCTTTCAGTATATTTTCTGACTGGTACAGATGGGTTTTGGATAAAGCACATACACATCCACTCTCATCCTGTTGAGGTATAAAAGTATAAGATTTTCCCCATAATACAACAGTAAATAATCTGAAAAGAAGAAAGGAACAAATCCTGAATGCCAACAAAACAGCCAGTTCTTCAGGATATTTGCCATGGAGGATAATCATCTGAGCGTATCCAGTGCTTTAAACTGTCTCAAATTGCACGAAATCTCAGGCTTAGGCACTTTGACAGGCTTCCTTTAAAATCTATGACAGTGGATTTGAATGCATCAACTATGTCACTCAGATTTTGTCAGATAGATCCCACAGCAGCAGCCATGGGAGACACTGTCCTCAGCCCAGAGAAGCTGGATTTCAGAAATGTTGCTTTCCTCAGTCATAGCAGGGGCAGAGGGCATTGTCAGGCAGGGTCAGCTCAGAGACCACTTTCATTTAAGCCTTCTGTGAAGCAGTGACTGTCAATGACAACACATTTACCATCTGTGCAAACACAGATTTTGACCTGCAATACTCTTCAAAGGCAGTGTCTCAGGAACCTGACTTGAGAAATACATTTGCTTGACTGCCCATTCTAATTTCCACAGCAGTCTGTTCTCTGGAGTCCCAGCTGTACAGCGACTCGCTTTTAACTTGGTTTTATTTTATACATTGTAATGAGGGGAGGAAAACCCAGTGTGATAGGGGTACAAACAAGACTGAGCAAGAAATATCTTTATTTGGTGAAGATGTGTGTTATTTCAGGATATTTTCATCTAGTCTGATAAAAATGGCATTTCTATAGAAACAACAAAGAGGAAATGCTAACTGTCACAAGCCAACATAGTGCTTAGCAGATGCATTGCTAGAGATCAGTAAATACTCTGCTGTTTTGGGCTTTTAAAATACACAATCCTTCCCTCTCCTTTACACAGTTAAATCAAATTGCATTGAGCATGGATGTGTGCTTTTTATTGGTGAAAAAGTAGAGGTTTGATTTAAAATATCTCTGCTTCACCTAGTCCCAGGGATGCCCAGCACCATTACTCAGTGAGGTCTTGCTGCCTCAAAGTGCCAGGGTTCAACCCCAAAAGTACATCAGAACTGCAGAAAAAATTCGCTCAAGGCTTTGTGGGTGGATCTTTGAGGATATTTGGACACATACATCATCTCTGCTCAACTGTCCTGTTTTCCCACTAGCAAGAAAGCTGCCATTGATTGGTCACAATGCAATTTTGCTCTCATGTATGCACATTTCTTTAAGAATATGTGCAGTTTCTTTACTACCACAGACAGTCATGATGTGCTGTGCATGACACCGCTGTGTGTAAGTCCCTTCTCTGCTCGCTCTGGGTTCTCACTCTTCCAGGTGGATTCCTGCAGACAGTGTTATTGTGCAGTGCATCCACTGCTTTGAGGTATGATATATTGCCATTCCTTCTGAGATCAACATGTAGTTCTCTGCAGAGTTAAACCTTTAGCACAGGTGGCAACTTACTGCTGAACATTGTGTCCTACCAGACTCAACTCTTTTTTACATGGATTACAAAATTAATAATTAGAGTGGACAGCCCACAGATCACGGTATATGAACTGTAACAACCATGTTGCAACATGGGCTAAAGAACTGACCAAAACCCACACCAAAACTGACCTAAGAGGATTTGAAGATGACCACATGGCAACCACTTGGTAACAAAACAGCGAACAAATGAAGAGAAAGAAGACCCCAAACCATAATGTTGCTATTGGTCCAGACTGTTATATGAGGGATGAGGAGTTTAGATTGTAAGGGTATAATTGCCATGGGGTCCCTCTTTTGAGGTACCTAGATTGAGCTACCAGATACAGTGATAAATAAATCTATCTGTTGGAGAAGAGCTTAGTGCCAAAAATTTCTTTAACAAAAAGGAACACAAGTAAGGCTTGTATCTTGGACCAATCCCTTATGATCATTTATTTTCCTTTCTCCAGCAGACCCGCATGCTGCCCACCACCCTGCTCTCCAGCTGTTCCGTTCTCAATTCCAGTTTCTGTCTTCTGGCAAAAAAGCACCAGGATTAGCTTCTTCTGTGGTCACCTGCTTTTCAGACAACTTATCCTAATATTTATCATCTCTGCCACATAGATAATACTGTTACATTTACAGATTTACCCTTTTTAATCATACCAAGGCCACTGCCATATTGTCTTTGTTGCTCTGACCTCTTCCCTGTTATAATCCACTGAGAAAGCATTTGGCTCTAGGCTCTCATGCTTCTCATGCTGCGGAAGACCAAAACCATGTTCCAGAAAGTCACGTGAAACTATTTGCCTGTGGCAAGCTATAAGAAGAGGATGAAGGAGATTTTTAGGGCTTGTGAGAAGACTGACAATATTTTAAAATCTCATAAAAAAGCTCTTGCTGAGTGAGGAATGCTTGAGTTCACCTCCAAAGGCTCTTAGCGGTGCTCTGGTGGGAATTTCTTTGCCAAAATTGTTTAGCAGATCCATGCAAGTGTGTTGGTACTTATAATTTATAGGATAAATATGAAGACACATGAGCATGATTTATTGATAGAGTGTAAGCTATATATAGTGCCTTTAACTGTATTATTAAAACTGAAGGTAAATAATTAATGGAATGAAGAAAAGATACATAAAACTCTGGGGAGTTTTGATGGGAAGCATTCCTGTCTTGTGGTAATTAAAACTGAATATATTCTGAGTATATATTATGTCTTTCTGGCAAAAAAAGATTATTTCCTCATTTCACCTGCATGCTAGGAGACACTGTGTATGGCCGCAGAAGCTGTGCAGCCTGCGTGAGAAAAACCAGGGAGGAAAAATGCGTATGGCTGTTGGGCTTGAACGCCATCCCACACTCAAGATAGGGTTACTATCTGTGGGTGCTGACCAGTTCTGTCTGGTTAACCCTCAGAGTAGTTTTAGGTGAGATATAGCTCAAATAACACATGTTAGTTTTGCAAAGTTCAGTGCTGCCCATTTCCATGAGAAGTGTGACAGAAAGGTACAGACTGGCTTCAGCAACCATTGCCAAGGCCTCCCTGCCTCACTGTCCAGGCAGGAGAATTCAACTGTGTTCATGTGTTCCACAGGGAAAAATTTCTAAGTTCAGCACCAGCAAAGCCTCGAAGTGTGAGAGAGAGGCCTTCTACCCACACCACTGCATCTGCCAAACCCTTTTGTAGAATCGGTGGTGATCTTTCGTCCAGCCTGAAGATGAACAGTGCAAAAACTAAAACCTTGATTTCACATTTTGGTTCAACCAGAGGCACAAACCATCGATTTCAATAGATTTTGGAGCAGCCCTACGTGACCTTCAGTGTCCCAGAAACACAAGAAGCAACAAGGTGCCAAAGGACAAATTAAACTTCCCACTTTGGTCAGCCAGACCTTTGTCTGTGTTCCACAGACAAAGGATTAGAAACTTGTGCTCGTGAGGTTTAACTGCAAGAAACTTGAACAATTCTTTCAAAGTGCTTCTTGCATCCCAAACCAATATAAATTGGGAATGACAATATTAAGTGGCAGATGGTGCTGGTAGGGTAACAGCTGTTTTCAGTGAAATGGAGAATTTGACACCACATTTCTCAGCAGTCACTGTTATTCTTGAACTAATTTTGACTTTAATATAATTCCTGTTCCTTTAGGGAGTGCAAAGCAGAGCTCCACCAGCTGATGAACTGCAGTCTGGCAGGGCAGCATTGAAGAAGCACTCAGGTAGTTAAAATATGTCTGATCATAAGGTTAGCATCATGGTCACTCTTGGCTCAGGGAGATGTTTTAAAACATTTTAAAAAATTGGAGTTTTCACTTCAATTTTCTGTAAGGTAGTCACAGTCCCATTTCCCTGACACTGTGGTTAAGCCTGGCTGTTGGCAGACATGAAGGTCTATCTTAATTTCTATAGATTTAAGTGCTTTTAATGTTCATAAGGGATAAAACTTGTTTCTGGCTGTAATTTTGCCACAGTATTTTAGTCTTCTGAAGAGATAAAAAGTAGCAGTGGAAAAGTTCTTCATTTCCTAAAGCATCAGGGCACTTGTGGTGAGTCTCCCCAACCGTGGGCCTACCTGGTCCAGTCCAAGCCCCTGTAAGAATCTGTGCCTGTTCTCGTGTTCAGAGAATTCATCTCACCGATGTCTGTCAGTGTCTGCAGGCAGGGTGTCAGATGACAGAGCCAGGCTCTGCTCAGTGGTGCCGAGCAATAGGACAATTGGCAATGGGCAGAAACTGAACCACAGGGAGTTTGACCTGACCGTGAGGAAGGATTTCTTTCCTGTGCAGGTGACTGAGCACTGGAACAGGTTGCCCAGAGAGGATACCAAGTCTCCCTCACTGGGGATATTCGGGAACCGTCTGGACACAATCCTGTGCAATGCGCTCTGGGATGACCCTACTTGAGCAGGGAGGTTGGAGCAGATGACTCACTGTGGTCCCTTCCAACCTGACCCATCCCGGGATTCCGTGGTTCTGTCAAAAGGCTGAAAGGCAACTGAGCACTACAGTCAGTGACTAACGTTAAAATCAAAGCTGCTGCAATTTCCAACAGCTTTCCAGCAGTTTGTAATAAAGCTTGGCACGTAAAACAAACGAGCGATCAGACACGAATAATAAATTAGATCCGTGTTCCTAGAGCTTTGTGTGTCTGCTCTCCTGAAACATCTGCAGTGTGGCCCGTATGGAGACCTAAGGAAAACGCGCGGGAGAAGCCGCCCTTGGGCTGCACAAGCCCAGGACGAAATCGCAGCGGCAGTTCAGCGGCGGGACTCCCCTCTGGGAGCCTCCGGCAGCCCGCACCAAAGGGCAGACTTAGCTGCAGTGTCGGGGAAACAGGGTCCTGATTAACGCATAAAAAAATAAAATGAAAATCCAACTCGTTTAATTCCATTCCCAGCCGGAGGCAGCGCTGGGGAGGAGGGAGGGCGGAAGTGACGCAGGCCGGGCGGAACAAGCTGTCGTGGGGCAGGGCGGAAGTGCTGGCGAGAGCGGCGCGGTTCCGGCGCAGGTGAGCGGCGGCCGAGCAGAGGGAGCGGCGTGAGAGGTTGGCAGGGTCTACTTCAGAGGCTTAAATGCTGCTTCTGGAAAGCACTGGAAGAGTATTGCGGACCTGCATTTCTATGTAAAGTAAACGCCGTTCTCTCTGACCCACTGGTGCTGCCTTAGTTCGTGATTTGGGTCGCTCCCTGTCCTGACTGACCTTCCTTCTCAGGCTCATGCTGGAGCTGAAGTTGGTTCATTCAGAGGTGTATCTTGACCCTTGAAGCAGTCTATACCTTTGTTGCCTTCTGTGCTCTCGTGTTTTCTTCCAGTCAGGCTTAGACCTCTGGTCCCAAGTGCGCTTGTGAAACTTCCTGCAGCGCTGGTGGGCTTTTCAAACAGTATCCGTGGGAAGTCCAGAGTGTGACAGAAAGCTGTTTATTGAGACTTTTGGTACAGACAGGGTGTGCAACAGCGAATCATAGTGTATGCACATAACAGTAACTATGTTGTGGAGTGTAAAGGTCTGTGTGGTCCTTTGACAGCGTTTCTGATCCCTTGCATGTTTTCCTAGGACAAAGTCCTCACTGGGTTGCACATGCTGGCTG